ATAAAATCAGTCGTCGAAGTAAAATTTTTCATTGGACCATGCTTTTCATGGATGACCACTAAGGATTGGTTTGGGAAAGGCATGTTCTCTTAAAAGAGCAACCGCCACACCAATTAAACTGCAACCTCTAGGTTCAAATGGTTCGTTATTTAGTAGGACAAACTAAGGACGGAAAAGCATGGAAATTTCGATCCATTTAACAAAGAGTTTGTACAAATGTCCGCTTTTCTGGAGAAGCCTAGCCTTACGGTGGTAAGCTTCTTAGCTGTTCATAAATGCAAAACATAGCATTATAACATGGCGCGGATATATTAGAAACTATTTGCTCAGCTATCAAAATACCAGTAAAGTGAGAACTGTACTGCAGCACGATCCCGAAGTCGGCCATTCAAATATCCAAGGATCTAGTTATAAAGCTGCAATTCAGTGCACTACTTGATATTTACTAAAGCACTATTTACTTGCTTATAACCTGTTAGGAGCTCTCGGAAGTGGTGGCATTTCCTTCGGACTGAAAATAATATTGTATTCAGATGATTGTACTGAGTTGTGGATCGATCCCAAGGCAGTACGGGAAATTACGTTCACTCTTCTTTGCTAACTAAATGTGGTTGACTTCAGGTCATCATCGGCTACCGATTCTTAGTATCGGCAGGATTCCTCGACATTTTGATGTTGTTCAACTATGGAATTTGGCCAGGAGTGACTATTGTTTTAAAATCAGAGATAGTTCCTAAAGAGTGGAGACACTGGTTGCAGGTATTATATTTGTTGAGTATTAAAACCTCGTTCGTGACTAAAGCATAACTGAATTCGTTTTGTTGCCTTTCGTTTCCCAGTTTGTGTGTGCATTGCGAATACCTTCCAGTAGCTTTAGTGGAAGAGAATTGATTTCATGAAATTTAACAATCGGCAGCGTTCCAAAGAACTTTTAGCTCTATTTGGACTGGGCGTGGTTCGCGATGGTATGGCACATAACCCTCGTCGCCTGGTCTAGATGGTCAGCGATTCGATCACCATATTCATACAAATATCAGCGAAGGCTACACTCTTATGCAATATGCGGATGTTTCTGTCTCGTCTCATTAGCGGAGGCACGTTCTTTACATGAATAGGAGTAGATAAGACTATCTCTTCATCTGGTTTTAAATTATCAGTTAAACGCGGAATTTGCTCACATGAGTAAATATGAGCGTACTGAATGCTAGGAGAGAGAGATGCATTGCTGCGGTGAAAAAGCAGTTGATTTCCCGCTGGTTTCAGGAAAAAAACTGCTAACGGCAGAACGACATATGGTCCGTGATAAGCCTAGAAATGTGTACCCTTGAAAAACTCACCAGGAATATAAAAAATCACTTGAAAAGCATGCTTCAACGAGCCTTGTTGAAAGGAACACAGCATCTTTTCATTGGCCTCGTCCTTTTCGCTCTTTTGCGATTGCCAACAGTGGTGGTAGTCCGGTCCAAGTCTGATGACGCCGACGAGTATCTTTTCATGAACTATAAGGAGAATACAATAGGTTGACGTCAGCTACAAATATATTGGTGCTCGCCCTACACGGCGTTTGTATGCGTTTGCGATCCAGTCTACCGTTCTTCCCGTCCGCCATTAATTACTTCCATTACAAAACTAGCCGTCGTTCTTGTTGTTTAAGACGTGTCGGCTCCTCGTACCTCAAAGATGGGATATTTCTCACAGGCCTGTATTCCTTATCGTTGTGTGTGTGTGTGTGTGTGTGTGTGTGTGTGTGTGTGTGTGTGTGTGTGTGTGTGTGTGTGTGTGTGTGTGTGTGTGTGTGTGTGTGTGTGTGTATGTGTGGGTATACATGTGTTTTTGTATGTTTCTATGTAATTATGCGTATGCTCCAATTATATTTCTTTGACAAACGTCCTTTGTACTCTTAACTAGAAATCACGACCAAATCAAGGTGCCGCTTCCATATCTTACATGGTAGCACTAGAACAACCGTATTTCCTGTCCTGAAGAAGGCGAAACCGCCGAAACGTCAGCAATTGTGTTCTAATAAATTCTATATTAACAACCTCGTGTCTGCTTATTGATGAAAAACATCGTATTTCCTGTGTTTACCGGACACCACAAATTTGGTGCGCTCTCTGCAATCAGCAGCTGTTTGCCTTGATTCGTGTTTTTTATAGACGATATTCATATAGTGGTTGCACTTTCGATTTTCTTAGAATCTTGATCCTATTTATTCCACCGATTGGTTAATGAAGTTTCGATCTCATTTTCAAAAGTTCCGCTAGTGTTTACACACTTTTTCTACAAAATCCGGTGAATTTACTGAGGATTCCACACCGGCGGGGCACTGAGCAGCTTAGTTGGGATGATGCTGCACTTTTAGGACCTCTTCTCTATGGGGATCATATGGAATCGCGAAGATCTTTATCCTTTTTCTTTCACTATGTGAAATATAGCGCTAAGGCATTTGCGAAAGTGAGGACTATATTTTAGGTGCTGGCAACACACTTTCAGTCGTGGTACGTAACCTTTTACTATGAACCATCGTCGTACGGAATGTTGGCTGAGGACATTTCACGATACTTATTTGATGGACAATCGACTGTGTTCCTCATCAACAACATGATTGCCATTATTCTTAGCATAATATTCTATACGTTAGTTTGAAATCAGTCAATTTTTTTCGTTCAATATTTGAAGAAAATTTGAAGGCTCTTCAAAATGAGATTTAAAATTCAAGTTAACTTTGTTGCATTTTCTAACGAAAAACTCCGATTCGTCCACCGATTGGGAATTTCACTTGTGAAAGAAAAACGTTTCGAAAAAACCATTCCCTCCACTGATCTAATGTTGTGTGATGTTGCCACATTAATCTCAGTATGTCGTGAATAGTACGGTTTTCAACCTCACGCTGCTGGTTCTGGATCCTGCCACAGGCCCACTAAGCGTCTCGTTCCATCAGGGTAGGGAAGAAAAATCACTGTCTGCAATCCAATTGGTAACGGTCCTGCCCGGCTATCTTAGGACTTCATGGAGAAACGTCTCGATCAGCATTCTACCGCGATAAGTAGAGTAGACCTGAAGATGGGTCGCATGAAAATGAAATAAAAAAGGGGGTTTTTAAGCAAAATGATGCTCGAATTCTTGCAAAATTCGGATCCCAGGTCAGATTCAAAACCGCGATTACGCTTTCCAGGAGTTCATATATTTCACCTACTGCACTGCTGAGGTCTTCGTTCTGCCTTCCTCTCAGCCTGTTTTTTTTTTACCATAATCGTTTTTACCATCAGCAATCACCCGTCGACGGAAATGTCGAAATCGAGAAATTGGTATAAGACTTTTCTGGAAACTGTTCGCTTTCTCAATCCAGGTAGGAACGCTTTAGGACCAATATCCGAGGACTCCATAAGTATCGACATTCATACAGAAGACGACGATCGTCAAGATCAACCATCAGTCGAACATGCAGGAAGATGGAAGAGCTTCACGGCTGATGGATGCGAAGAAACGATTGGAATGTAGGAAATGCTGGAATTCGCATAGCAGATATGAAGACGGCTCTTGTAAAAAAAATATGTTGGTGAGATTAATGAAATACATGTTCATGAACCATTGAGCACATATTATATCAGTAAAAAACAAAATTGGCTTCAGTAATCGCTAGTGCCTTAATTGAAGGCAAACCTTTATGTGAAAGAAACCTGGAAACAAATAGGTGTGTATTAACTATGATCAAAGGAAAATTTATGGAAAATGTTAAACGTTCTAACGTTTTCAAAGAGACGATAAAGTGAAGCTGAAATACTACGGCACTGTTGTAACTATGGCGGGTGAACTACTGACCTCTATAACAGAGGCATCTCGTGCTGATTGATCGCATGGCAACGTGGCGCTTCTCCCAGGTGGCTAATAGGGGTTGAGCGACTTTATGCCTCCTAGAGGCGCAGGTGGATCTAGTATAAACACGCTGTTTCTGCTCTTCCGATTTCACGCATTTTCTGTGTTTATCAGTACGTGTCCATGAATGCCTGCAAGGGGTGTTTTCGTTGATGTGGATTGTATTCTACGACATAGTTCGGCCAAAAGCCTGTAATCAACTGAAAGAAAAGTACATGGGAAGCAATTAGAAGTAGCCCCTAACGAATAAATAAGCTCTTCGTCCACTCCAAGAGAGAATGGCAAGCTACCTGTGAGTATATCTAAACCTCACGTTCAGCGCTCAGCAAGCTACACGTGGGCATCGAAAGCAAAACGCTGCCAAATAAAAGAGCCTTATTCTTCTATGCCATAAAGAGCCTACGATACAACAGCGTTGGATACGACAAGCACGATGGGACCGCTAAAATCTTAGGGCCACCCTATTCGCCTAAACCGCAACCGGCTAAAGTGGCGATTTGTACTTGCAATACACGCTCACTTACACCTTAGCCCTCCATGGAGGACATAATCATGTAAGCAAGAAGGATAAGGCATGACGTAATCGGACTGGATGAGACAACAAGATGCCACTCATTCAACGCCGTCCATGACACCGAAGAAAAACTGTTCTTCTCAACATGCGACAGTAGAGGAGTCAGCGGCGTGGGCGTTCTCGTCAACACTAATTTGGCTGTGAACATCGTTTCATTCGAATAGTTAACAATCCGAATCGGACGCCTATAATTGAAGAGATGTGGATGAGCACCGGTTTTGGTAATTTTGTCTACGCAGCGAAAGCGAAGTCAAAGCGTTCAATATAAGTTTGGAGAACTTCTACAGAGAACATCATACATTCTTTAAGAGCACCGCAAAAAATTTCGGCACTAGAATTGGCCTCCAAAAAACATCTAAACAACGTAAAAATAAGACCCAAAGATTAGGATAGGAAGAACAGTGCGAGCGGTTGCCTGAATTCGTCATGACGACGAAGACCGTTCAACATCCTCACGTTAGCGCTACGAAATCTGAGAGTTCGAAACTCACCAAGAGACGTCTGTCTGCAGAAACACTCAAGATGATACACCAGCGCGGAATCACACGAGATCTAGGCGACCGCCAACTCACGTGCTAACTTGTGACACAATGCAGACAAGTGATGAGGAAAGAACTTAGACAAGATCAGGGTATAGCATTTGCAAAGCCTGCCTGCATTTCAACTAGAAAAGCAAAATGATTGCATTTTGGTGCTCAGAGTGAACAGTTACAGGGTCCAGAAAGGTACTTTAGGAAATCATTCACGATTCTACTCGAATCATTCCAGTAGTCACGTCCTTCTGCTCACATACGAAATACAGAACGAAGGATAGGTCACCCACTGGTTCTAGCTTCCGAAAGTAGACATACCATTTTGTCGGTGTAGAATCGATCAACACCAGATCCTGAGATCTAACTACATGAAGAACCACAATGATGTTGAGATATTTACAAAACTCCAGATCACAGGTGTCTGCGATGGGAAATGAAAGCGGAAATGGAACGTCGTTACCCTTTCCGGTGGCCACCTCGTTCACTTCTACACCGTGCGGGTCCTTCTTTCGCCTGTCTCTCGAATAGTTTTCTTTCTACTTGTCGAATTTTCCTCCACTCTTCATAAGCACATTGGATCAACTCGGCACACGTCACCTCTCAGAATCCAAGGTTCCTATCTAATGGAAGACCAGCCAGTAATACTGTGTTATTATTCAAGAGTAGTGACCTACGCGTTATCGCCAACTATCGCCCAATGCGGTTGCTGCCTGTCGTCTACAAACTCTTTACTCAAGTCGTCCTAAGCAGGGCTGACAGAACACTAAGCGGAGGATATCCATGAGAGAAGGTAGGGTTTCGATAAGAATTTACTACGATGGTCCACATCCACACGATAACAAGACTCACTGAAGTACCGCGAGAGTACAGAATACCGCTCTGTATCACCTTTATCGATTTAAGGAAATCTTTTGGTTCTGTTGAGATAAAAGCAGTAGAGGAAGCCCGTTCCTACTCGATGAGTACAAAGAACAGTAGATAAAGATTTTTTGTGACCTATATAAAAATTTCGCAGCCAAAATACCCACATTCCACAACGATATTAATATCGGAGTCAAAAAAATAGAGGCAAGGCGACGATAACACGCCAGAATGATTTGCCACCGCCTTCGAGAACGTTGTGCCAACACTGGAATAGGACAACGAAGGAGTGAAAATCAATCAGCGAAATTGACACCATCTTCAATTTGTTGATGACGCCGTTCTTATAACATCAAATATTAGCCAAGCGGAACCATTGCCGTGTTTGAAAAGCCTGTGGAAAGATTGATCTATGACTTGATCTCACAAAAATGATTTTCGTGATGATTCGGATTGTTTCTAATGCCCCATTGACGCTGAAGAGAACGAATACCGCCGAATGCTCTAGCTACGTTTGTGTTGGTCAGGATATCAATATGATGAACGATTTAGCTCCAGAGTTGAGCGGGACAAAGCGAGCGGCTTGCGCAGCTTTCAAGGGCATCGAGACGTGGTGAGGAGAGAGAAGAACACCGGATGTGGTGAGAAGAACTAAGAACACTGGACCCCATATCCACTTTCAGCCTCTCCAATTCTTCCGGCTTTAACGTATGTGTGAGAAACTTGATCAGTATGTAGGATGAAAGATCACTCGGTGTTATAGAAAGCACAGTTGAAAGGACGATGCTAAATGTGTCCGCTATCACACAATGGAGCACTGATCTACGTCTACAATCGAAAATTAAAGACGCTGTTGTATACACCAAAATATCGATATGTAAGATAAGATGGGCTGAGCACGTAATTTGCACGGGCTACCACGGTTGCACAGGAGCAGATAATGCTTGCATTCTTGAGAAGAATATCAAACACACAGTAAGAAGACCTAATTTCCAAGCTCTTCACAAAGTTTCTAGAAAAAATGATAGGATACTCGACGAATCTCTATAGCAAGCAGTACCCACTGGGCTAATCTTACACGCGCCATGGAAAAATGGAACATTTACTGGCGCCCGCTCGAGTTACCTATCTATCAACACGACGGCAGGTGATACAGGTGATGGGAGGTGAAATAGAAAACTTCCATCATCGAGTAGCTGTTCGACCCTCCTAACCTTACCTCTTTCAGACCAAAATTTGGGTTCCGATTGAAAAGTTATGTGCATTTGGCGAGGCACAGCACACATCCATTCAACGAGATCATTGTTATTTAACAATGTCAGTTGCAAAGCTGCAGATCTTTAGTACCTAAACTAAACAGATTCATAGATAAATGGGAAGCAGGAATGAGTACGTACAGCAGAGATCTAATTTATTCAACAATAAATGAATTTCGATCTTGACAGGTAAGATTCTCTTGGGCAGGTCACTGGCAGTTAGGCCCAACCATTTCTGCACATCATCTGATTGCCAGTGGTTTTTAAATTCTTCAGTCGTTTATTAACTTGGAGACAACAAGCTTTGCAAAGGTGATATTATGTCTAGTCATAAGCAGGAGTGTTAGGATAACGACTGACTAGTCTGAATTTACGAATTCGTTTTCTTCAAAATGACTTTAATGTTCGATCTTCTTTTCTTATAACGAAGCAATTAAATAAAATAAGGAAAAATTCTAAAAAACCTCAAACTTCCGTCTATAAAGGAGAAGATTTCAGATGGTCAGTAATTCTTTTTGTTAAACAAAGACGTATGGTCATCCATTC